ACTAGGTGCGTTCTACATGGTCTCCCTGAAAACAAGACCAAGTTGCGACAACGAGGTCAACCCACTTCTCCATTCTAATGTTATTCATGAGTAGTGCATATTTTACCTTAAAGGGACACAAGGACTTGCAATGGGTTCTTGCTCAGCTCCAATTTTAGCGAATAACTCCATGACTAAGTTTGAGGAAGGCTTAATGCAAGAAGTAATTCTGACTCTTAAATCGTTTGTTAGAGATATGAATGATTAGTATGTTATCTGAGAACATAGTAAAGAAAGTTTAGATAAGATATGAAGACCAAGATGGTGTGGCCTTTTGTATGGTCACCGTCTCCTTTTGTTGTATAGAAGTTGTTTGACCTTGTTTTCGCAACTTGGCCAAACGTCTAGGAATGTACAAAGTCAACGGTCCAACTCTGGAAATTATCATGCATACTATGGACTCTGGACAAGGTGCGTTCCTCTAGGTCGTGCTGCCAATATGACCAAGTTGCGAAAACAAGGTCAAGCAACTACTATAATTTAGATATTATCTTATTTTCACTTAACAAGCATGAAAAAATATTAAGTTCAAAATGGAATTAGAAGTAGATTATCTTCTTGGATGTCATGGTTATTAGGAAGGATGAAAAGTTAGACAGATATGTGTATAGGAAACCAGAATCTGCTGGTTTTGTTCTTAATTTTATTCCTAACCATAGTTATAAAATAAGGTAGGAATTTGTAAATCTGTGATCATTATGAGTATGAGGCTTGCATATGAAAATCATCTGACTAAAGAGTTAAGACTGAAAGTTTTATTACTATAGAATAATTATCCTTTAGATTTAATTGATAATAATATGCCTTTAGAGGAAAAAAATTTCAGGCGGAGACTGGTCAGAGAGAGGCAAGCTGAGACCCTTTCTTATTTTGTAATCTTGCCGTCATATTTTTTTTAAGAAGTTGAGAACTAATGAGGAAGTGGGGGATAAAGACAGTTTTCTAAGAAACTCTCACACTTTCATAGGCTATACCTTATTTTCGAGAGAAATATAACCCACTATCAAGATCCGGCCGTTACAAAACTGTGTTACTGCGGTCAACCATATGTTGGAGACCTGTCGGCCGATCAGCTAAAGATTAGCGGAGCACAAAAATGCCTGTAAAGACAGCTGGGTTGAACAGTAGAAAGTGGCGGAACAATGCATGTAATAGAACAATCTCGTACGCAGAAGTTTGCTAATTATGGTATGCCTGCTACGAAACGCAAGATAAAAGAGGCTATTGAAATTAATAGATTAGGGAATATATTGGATGCAAGGAATGGTGGTAGAAAGTTGATTAATAATTATTTATGCTTGATTGAAAGAGAGTGAGCGTTGAGCAGCCGTTCAAAAGACTCAATTTGTCAGCTGAGTAATGGTTCTAAACAAATTAATACTCGTTCAACAGACAAAACAGACGTGCGGGGTTACGTAATCCCACTCGGGCTTTTCCCTAGGTCACTAAACCTTAATAGCCCAGATTAGCGGGTTCGGGTTGGTGATTTTGTATCCTGATGTTAACGTGTACAGACTTAAATTTAATCAATTTAACCAGAATTACCTACGGATCATTATGCCTTGATTACCCGGGGCTGACGTCAAGCATTTTTCTAATTACTCTGAGTTATGACCGGTTTTGCATACAGACGTTAGCATACATACAGACACAGACACAAGAGAGTATGCGAATTAGCCAAACCTTTTTATATCAATCTATATATTAAATTTTGTTAGCAATGAGTATATATATAATATTAGAAAAAGGCTGGTTAGTCTTTCTGACTTAGTGTTAGCTTGAGGCGAACGAAAGCTCAGCTCGTCTTCGCCTGAACTGGTTGAGGACGTCTCGTAGACTACATCAACCTGAACATAGTATTAATGCCAAACAGCTGAAATATAACGCGAATCAGCCAACGTCTTCTGGTGAGAATGACCTACGAACCTTATCCTTATCCTGATTCTATAGTAGAATATCTATTTGATGTGTCTTTTTGCATTTCTAGTCCTCCGTCTTCTAGCTTGGTTAAAACTTGGATCTGTAATGGATGAATATAATAAAAAAAATAAAATGTATTTTGCTTAGGCTATGATATCAAGATACAGTAAATTTAATTAGGCTCTACAGATTATGACAAAAGAACTAAAACGTAAAACACTTTGATACTTGATTCGAACTTTATGCTCAAACTCCAAAGATCAAAATAAATATTTCCTTTGAAAATATTGATATTCGACTAAGTGACAATAAATTTTCTGAATAAATGACGAGTGAATGTGTATTATCGATTGATAAAGCAGGCAAACACATTGAAATACCAGATAAAGGCGAAAACATAAAATGCAACAAATAGGACCGTGACTGGAGCGTAGGACAGTCACATATGCATTGAGAAAGTGCAAACTAGAGTATAACAGACAAAAGAAAGAATAGAACACTAGATGGTAGAAGATATCTAATGTACAACTAACCGCTCCTTTTGCTCCACAGCTCGCTTCTCAGCCTCTTCTCTCCTCCTTGCCTCTTCGATCTTTCTATCAATTTCTTTCAGCCTACTTCTTCTCTCCTTCTCTGTCTCATATTCTGAGCTAGACGAAGATCGATGCCTCCAGATGTAAATAGAAAAGGGACAAACAAACCTCCGTCTGCTGCTTTTGTGTGAATCGCGATAAGTCCGATCATAGTTTTTAGGTTTATCTTTATCTTTGTCACGATTTTTAGTTTTTTCTTTGTCTCGATCCCGCTCTTTTGACTTGCTTCTATACTTTTTATGCTTGCTAGACCGCCTCAATGAAGAAGAACGGCTGCGAGAGCGGGGCATGGAATTAAGCGTACAGCTGGATGCCTCAAACTAGCCACGAAATATGTAAACTTGAAAAGTATATTAAAATTTTAATAATAAATGTTAGATTAAAATCCGCATAAAACCTAAACAGTTGTTATGAATATTACTTAAATATACTTAATAATTTATAAATAATTTTAAAAAGATTTTACACAATAAATAATTTGTATATTGTTAGGGAATATTCAGAATCCATGCCCTGTTTGAGGGTCTTTTGAAATGCCTTTATGGTTGATCTCCGGCGGCTCCTGCATTTTATGAGTATGGTATCGTAACGCTTATCTATAACCTGGCTTTTTTTAATTTTTCTGCTAATTTTTAATGCGATATTAATTAAAAATCTATATTTTTTAAGTTGTTGAATTTTGTGATGCTTTACATATATATATATATATATATATGTGTATTCTTTTTACATTAATTTAGTATATAATCCAGTTGATCGCTGAAAATATTAATTTGTTCTATTTAGTCTTAAATTCGTTTTTTATTGCCCTTTATTTTCTCATTATAGTTATAAGGATATATGATATTCAATGGGACGGGAGGGATCGCAAAGCCGCTTCCTCCTTCGGTTTTGGAATTATTGTGATCTGTACTGTTTTTTTGTGCAAGCGTCTACTTATTGCATATGTGCTCCCTGATGTCACTTGTGAAGTTTAAGATAATCTTACATTTTTCCACATCAAATCCGCGTGGTGCCTTTATTTTTTTAGCTTATTTGCCATATGCGCAGTGTATGAATCTTTGTCAGTTTTCAGCATAAGTCTATCATCAGCATGACTTCTCATCATGTGCAATATCCACTCTATCCTGGAGGTTCTACGAACTCTAGTCGTCTATCTTCAAATTATTCTAGTTCACCTTACTATCAAACTACTAAGGCCGTCCCTTCTCCCGTCTTCCATGGAGTACACCAACACTCTCAGCAGCCTACGTCAGCTTCTTTACATCCAGACCCTTACCACCAATCTTATTCGTCGCATCGTTCCTCACTCGCTCAAAATGGATCTTTACCACCTAGTCATGGAACGCAAAATTCTGGGGTACCGCCAAACCATGATATAATAACGAATTCTGTGCATGTTCCACCATCTTCATCTAGCACTGCTGGCACAAATTATTATTGGCAGGGCCCGACTAGTAATAGTGTCACCAGCAACCTAAGCAATACTATTAGAAGGGGTGCACAACCTGGCAATAGCCAAGCTGGAGGATATAGCAATTTGGATAGCAATGGAACTTCTGGGATGTATGATCATCTCTCAGCTATCACTTCTAATCACAACCAAACATCTGCCTCCGGGATTAATAGCAGTCCAAATCCTGTTAAAATAAATGGAACCAGCATTTTGGCACCTCGAGTGAGAAACGGATGCTTGTCTAAAATAAATACGCACTCAAATGGTGTTCCCTCTCATGTAAGCTCATCTTCAACTCCAATGTCACAGCATATGCATAATGGCCCCTCCGGAATTTCTTCGCCTGGCATTTCAGCACCCACATCTGATAGACCGTCTTGGAAAGAACGACCGCATGTAGGAAAGTACAGTCTAATCAGAACGATCGGCAAGGGAAATTTTGCTAAAGTTAAGCTGGCTCAGCATCTTACTACCGGAATGGAGGTTAGTAATTTTCTATATAATTTTTTGTCTTGAAAATTCTAAACTAATCAACCTGGTAATACGAGTCTGGCTTTTCTTTTCAGCTATCACATTATATTCTGTGATATTCCACTTTAGCTTTGTAGGCTTACTCATGGCAATCCAAATTACATTGGTTCCAGTTAGGTTTTCTTATATACTATAACATTCATACAACTCTCTTCATTTAAATGCCATGATTCAGAGTTTAGGACAAATCTAGTGGCATCTAAATGTGCTAGCAAAATATTC